TACAACCTCTTCCCAGTCAGAAATGCTTTTCAATTTAAAAGTAGGAGGTACAGTTTTCTAAAGCAGTACAGAAGTGGCATCTCCTTCTGCATAAAGTGCTTGCTTAGTGAAGATAATTGAGGATGGAAAATACATTATTTTTCTGTTCTATCTACCATAGCGATTAAAAACAACAATTAATTGTGTCAAGGTGCAAAATGATGATTTTAATTACACTACCAGAGTAACATAAGAGGTTCACATGCAGTGACTACACCCTTGATTGGTCTACTACAGAGGAAAAGATAGGATTGCTTCCCTAGGGCAGTGTTCTCCACCCCATTCATGCTGATTTACTTCACAAATAACCTCAGTAACTTGTTTTATTGACCTCCCTAGTAGCAGGATTTTGAAAGTAAAACCAAGATATTTTTTCTTTTTATCGAATTATTTTATTCTATTTTTAAACACTACTGAGAGAAGTGCATGCTATATAAAGCATCATATTTAACAACTTGTCCTGTAATTTAAAATCACTTATGAATGTAGCAGAAATAATTCCAAAATAATGAAAAAGCTGATTCCCAGCAATATTCACAGTACTATTCAGGGCTCACAAAGTCCAGACATCTTGCTCCCACTGCTGTCACATTGGAGCACACTTGGAAAGCAGAACACCAAAAAGACCCTCCTTTCTTTAATTATGCCTTTACCTCTCCCATCATAGAAATAGCATGCCCTAAGGCAAAGTAAGGAAGGAAGCATGCCCTAAGGAAGAAACAGCAAACTCTTTCCTGGAAAGTTCATAAACCAAACATGATCCACATATCTAAGACTCTATTCTCCTCGTACCTTCAGGGAGAGAGGAATATTATTGAAATTATTAAGTTCATTTTACTGTCTAGTGCCTTTAAATAGTATTGTTAAATTGGAGAAAGAATATCACTGCACTGTTGGAGCCAGGGTCTCTAATCCAGTGCTGGAGGCACAGGGAACTGTACTCACAGGCTGCAGGAGATAGATATATTCAGATTTATGTTAGACATTTCAAGCTGAAGAGGGCAGTTTCACTCTAATGCAATATCCTAGCTTAAATGGCTTTGTCAAAACAAGGTTTCTTCTGCTTTCTGACCTTTATTTGCTTGAACAAAAACACAAATACAGAGATTGTCTTAATCTCTTTTGTATTTATTTGAACACCTGTGCTGGGCCATATTCATAAAGATGCTTCATATCCCATCATTCATCTTCCAGATGGTTTTTATTATCAATCTTCAGGAAGATTTTCCTCTAACCCCCTTCCTTGCTTCCTCAGAACAGTTAATTAAAATACTTCCATGGAGATGCTCAACATGGCCCCACTAAGTAGTGTCAGTCATTGTGCAAAAAATGAGCCTGTTTGTTGGATAACTGGTTATTGCAACAATTTTTTTTTGTCATGGCAGCCTGTGTTCTTACTGTGATTCAGCAGAACTGCTGAGACATCAATTAGTGTGGTTTCTAAAAGCTTTTATAACTCATGTTTAAAATTCCAGCCTCAACCACAAAGCACAGTAGTCCCATAATCTACAAAATAAAATCTGGGGCTCAGTTTTCATTTACCTAAACTTCTGCAATCATAAAAATGTGTCTGCTGAAGACATCTGTTACAACTGGGTAACATCTAATTTTTATGGCAAATAATAGAGTTCAGCTCCATAAGATTAGAGGTTATAGGCTAGGCCTTTGGGCTGGCTTGGCATTCCTGCTGAAATGTTCTGCCAGCCAACTTAATATATGCATTAAAAAATCCCAATGACTTTCCTCCTCCTCCTAAGACTCAAAATAAAGCAATACTTTCATCTCCTAATGCTTTGCTCCATGGCATTGTTGAGCCTATGGCAGTGTCTGTTTGATGGGACTGACAATAATATTATTTCTTTTCACTAAAAATAAAGGCTTAATGAGGCGAAATCCAGAGTAAATTATATGTTGGAAACATACACTCTGCTGGAGAGGAGGTGGAGTTCCAAAAAATCACTGTATTTCAGGCCCTGCTTATATTCTGGATTTCAGATATTGAACTTAGTCAACTCAAAGCTTGAGATTCGGTTTTTTCCCAGATGAAATTCAGTTTTCTAGCACATGTAAATTGCAAAACAGCACACAGCTATTGTAGAGGACGTTTTTGGAAAACAAATAGAACAACATTACCATCACTAACAATCAAACCATCTGTGACTTTTAACAAAACTTCTGCATTGCCTTTTAATCAAAAAACCCTGCGAGAGATACTTGTGATTCCCCTGGGCAATACATAGTAGTGAAAGAATCAGATTTGAAAGGTCTGTGAAAATCATGAGCAGAAAAAGGACTCTGTCACTTCATCAAACTTCTAACAGAGAATCCAGTGAATCACTAGGTAGAACTGCTCACTGGGACGTGCTTGCACAAAGCTGCAGAGAGCCATGTACCAGAGACTCAAATGCTACTAAATAGGTCTCTGCAAAGCCAGAAGGATGTGGGAAGATTGTGCCATCAATATTACCATAACCCATGAAGGCTGAGTATCAGAAAGGTAAGACTGGAAAGAAAAATTATTATCTAACCTACAGACTTAATGCTGGTACTGCAGAGATATAAATGGCCTGCTGGGGTTTTTGAAAAAGAGGAGAGCACGACAGAGATCATGTTTGGGGTTTTACTAGCCCTCTGTGTCCAACTTTCCCTCGGGGAATGAGCTCTTACTCCAACTGTCCCTTTCCTAGCTCAGCAGCTTGCACTCCTTCTCCCTCCCTTTCTAGGAAACTTACTACTCTGCTGTTTCTAAGAGACTATGCCTGGGTGTCTAAGAGACAGTGCTAAGGGGTGGAAAAATTATCAAATTTGCCACTTGCATGATTCATAAGACAAAAAAAAATTGCAATCCAGGAATGGGAGAGTGCCTGGAATATCTTCATAGACCTACTCCCCATGTATTGCCATCCTGTCCTCAGCTATCACTCATTTTAATATGCTGTGGTCCTGGTTTCTCATTTATCTCTTCTGGTACAGTCATATGCAGCTCTACAAATCAAGCGACAACCCAGTGGCAAGTACTTTTATTTAATTTTATAGTGCTTTATGAACAAACCTATAACACGCTGTTTGGAAGTAAGCAACCAAGTCTTCACCAAAACAACCCAAAACATATGCTTTTTTAATTAAAGCTTAAATCTGTAAAAAATAGTCACACAGCTCTCCATAATTTTTTGCTCTTTCCTGTCCTGTCCTCTGCATTAGGACAAGGGCTAGCCAGGGGCACCCATGGCACTCACAGCTGATTGTGTGACCACAGGCACAACAAAGTGGACTGCAACCAAGGAAGAAAGCACCCACAGTAACAGCAGTTTAGAGGCTCTGTAAGTTCAGTTTCAGACTTGCAGCAGTTTAGAGGCTCTGCAGGTTCAGTTTCAGACCTGCTGAACCTTCTGTTTAGCATTCAGTTCATTCTGAACTAAATGCTCACCTCCACAGAAAAGACTCTTACCACCCACCCACCCCACACCCCTCCCTTGTACTGGATGTGACGTTCATACAATCTTGAGCTACAGGAGTTGAGTATTTCCCCCTGTTTTAGTAAGAGTTACTGAACATTCACTTGAGTGCCAAACATGCTAAAGAGAAACAGCAGGTGCATGAGCCTGACACGGACTTGAGAAAGGGAGGAATCACTTTTCAGAGGGCACAGCCAATTACATGGGCTGAAGCCATGTCGTGAAAACACATCTCCAAATAATCCTGCGGACTCAGCTAAACAGGATAAGCAATATGTTTCTACTACTCAGTCTTCCCAGTGCATGGCTAGGAAGCAGAAGAGGAGGCAAAGACAAGTGGGAGAAGCTCAGGTAGTCTCTGTCTCTCTCTAGTCCTTAGGTAGAACAGCTGAAAATAATGCTTATTTACCAAATGGGATGAAGCACTTATCTTTTCCCCAGAGTGGGGAAGGTTAAGAGGATGTTGAAGTCACAGCCACAGTCCATTCTCTCCTCTGCCCAGGGGTTAATTACCTATCTTCCTCTTATTTAGGATGTGTCGCAAAACAACAGGCTAACTCTTTACAAGTGGAGGACTATTTTTATCATTTTCTTTTTTTAATTAACTGACATTAAGAAATACTGTTGTTTTCTTAGTGCTCCTCTGCTGTCTTTAATGAAGCTCTCTGTGTGCTGGATACACCTGCAGAGCTCTTTAGGAGCAGAAGATTGGTCATCATCGAGCAAATCTTTCTTCACCTCTCACAACTCTATTTATGATATACTGATTAATCAATCATCAGAGAGATTAAAGGTCATCTTTATAAAATAAATGGCTTATGGCTGCAGCAAATCACAGCTTTGAAATTTATTGGAAAAGGCTGTAAATTGTCAGTCATATTATTACATAAATAAATCAGATAGTTACTGCAAATTGATTAAGTGATTCCAATTTTTTTTAGGAACAAATTGTTGCTCCAACCTATTTTTCTCTCTTCTTGGACAAAATGATTGCTTTGTAGTCTATGTGAATGATTGCCTGTGTGTCCAAGGCCACAGTTATTGCTTTAAGTTGCTTCACACACATTAATGTTTTTTGAGTGTTGTTCACCACAATTTGTTTTCACATGAGCACCACTCTATATTTGAAAACAGTGAATGCTACAATGGCTGTTTGAGATGTTGAAAATAACACTGCAATAGCATAATCAGCATTATATTTGTACATGGAACAATTATACAATTAATAGATAGGCCTTTTCAAGTTTCACAGTAAAAGTAGGACTAAAGTTAATGTCCTACACTGACAGAGAAATATTTAAGACCCTCTCACTGTATCTCGTTTGCTGTATCAGTGTTGTGGGGTGAGGAGGTGAAAGGGAAACAGTGGAATGTGTCAGTAATGGAAAATAAAGTTGTCTGAAATTCAGGATTTTCATTCCTGAGATTACAATGAATTTTGTTAGTGAAAATAATTATTTAGAGTTACATGAAATTAGAGATTAAGAGATGACTAAGCACATTTACCTTGCCCTTATTTTCACTGCATTTGTAGTATCTTCGTGCCTCTAATAAATCCCCCTGGATCACATCTAGTGCACACATCAGTGGAATTTCCACTCTCAATTCAGGTGACTCTTTGTTCCATTTCAGCACTGTCTTACTGTGACCAACCACTCTGCTTGCCTGCAGGATCCCTTTGGGAGAAAAACAGGTAAATTCCTCTCACCAGATAAAACCCAGGCCTGTCTCCATGGCTGGATCAGCCCAAGCACTGCTCAGACAGGTCTGCACCAGGCTTTTCTCCTGCTGCAGAGAGCTGTCCTATGCCTCTAACAGGTCCTGCATCCTCACAAATCCTCTTGGCATATCCTGCCTCAAGCACAACATGAGGTGTCACCTTATCAGAGCACAAATGCAAAAGGTTGTCATCTCTGGCTCACTGCAAGAACTACCAACTATTAAAATTCCTTAAAACAGCTAAAACAGCTCAGGTTCAGAGAATGCTTTGCAGGGTTAGGAGGCTCCTGCTTCAAAACACCCCAGATTTGGGCAGCAGAAAGGCATTCATAAATGCAAGAGTGCTAGTGGCCACTTAGGGGAGGATGTATCAGCTCAGCTTGCTGCTGAGAATTTTAGAACAGCACCACTGGAATGTGAAAAACCATAGGCATCCCATTTGAAGGTACATCCTGAGAATTAGCATGAATATATGAAAAGGATGGAACAGACAAGTTTTATACCAGATTGTATGCCAGGCCAGAGGAGCCTACGAGTGAGATACAGGAATCTGCATCAGAGGTATGAACCTTTGATCATTCCACGTACCATCCTCTGTTGTCATCTTATTACAAAGTTCCCATACCTTCTTGATGCTTTCTCATGGACAGCTCCTCACAACACTGCCTCCTTCCTCTTCACAGCACAGCCAACAAACTCCAACAACTCCCTTCTGGACCAGCTAGTCCACTCTTTCATAGCACTCATCCTCACTGGACACAGCTGTGGCCTGTTAAGGGCAGGCCTGTTCCTAAACTTTGGAAGATTTAAATTAAAGGTTGAAATTAGTACAGCTGCAGCCCCTCAGGTGTGAGACTACCTTCTGCACTATCTTTATTTTCTTACATTTTATCCCCCCACAATCTTCCAGGACTAGCCAGGTCTCTCTGAAAGATTAATAAAGAAAACACACTTGTGCTACATCTTCAAAAAAAATGGACTTCATCTTCTTGGATGTGATGTATCACTTTGCTGGTTATTGTGTGTATGTGACTGCAGTCATAAGATTGGTAGATTGCTCAGATTAACAATGAAATATGCTATTCTTCTGTCAGGAAAAGTTTTGGCCCTTTAGGACACAGGCTACCAGTATCACTGGAGCAGCATGTTTCTGAAACCTCCATGAGGATACAGGGAGCTGTGCTGCCATTTCCTGCTCTCAGTGAGCAGGAAGAAGCTACAATGCTTTAAAACAGTGATAGAACACAGACTTCAGCAAATAAAGATGAAGCAGATATAGGAGGAAGAGGATCATGAACAAAAATGTCTGAGGGAACAGTTTATGCTATCATGGAGCAGCAGCTCTGGCAATGTGGACAGCAGACCTGATTAGCAAGTCTGATTCATCCCACATCCTCATTAGAGCCTCACCTCTCTGCATATACAACAGCACAATGGCTCCTAAAGCACCCACTCTGCCAATATGAAAATGCAGCTGAAAAAGGGATGTTGTTTGGTCTCCTGCATGCTGGAGTTCCTGTCAATTCATACTGGGATGGCCTCAGCAGTATGGGTTGTTGGTCATAGAACAGACAAGCTTGAGGTTAAAGCTTTCATGGCAAAGATTTAACTGGCACCTGGCAGGTGCTGAAAGAAGAAGCAGAAAGACAACAGAAATGTCACATTTTCCCTTCAGAGCCTGCACAATGCACAGTTCAGGCAAACCAGGGAACCTGGGCCAGACATTTAAAAAGTCTGGTCACCTCCAGCCTAGGAAAGGTACCAGGCATGCTGTGACACCAACCACTGCTTGCCCTCCACTGTTCATCTGCTTAGGAACTCTTCTTTTCAAGGAGGCACAATGGGGAATTTGCTGCTGATTTTTCTGTAAAAAACATCATCTATGGCCAATTAAGATTTGTTTGTTAAGTGAGAGTTCATACCTGTGAAGGGGGCTAAAAATGCCCCCAAAATACTACATGCTTGTTAATGTATTTAAAAACCAAAAGGCTGTAGTGGTATCCATTGAAAAGATTATTCTGGTTAGGAGTTCATGTCATAATCATTAATGATTAAAAAAGCAAGTCAAAATTTACTGGTCTTAAAGGATTAATAATATCGAGTAATTACATTTAAGATTTTTTTAGGTAATTTCTTTGTGTGTACTGTTTCACATGCATATAAATAATACTTATATAAATACTTATTAATATATTTATCTGCTGTAAAGGAGTGTCATCCCATCAATTAAAAAAAAGTCTGTCATTAGTTGGAACTAGGTTTGTGCTTCCATGATAAACTCTTTCCTGCTGATGCCTGCAACACCACACAGCCAGGGTAAGGTTACTGAATTCCATGGAGCAAGGCTGATTATCACCAGCTGAAAGCCAAATCCTTCCTATAAGCATGACCAGTTATTTTGGGTAATTTTTTTAAACTGTAACCTGAATAATGCCTTTACAAAGTTTGACAAAAGTTTTGTGCTTTTTACAATGGATTCTAACACATTAAAAATCTCTATAAATGTTTTAAAGATTTAACAAAGCCAAATAAAAAAAATCTCTGCAGGTTGATCTGTTCCTATTCTGAAATTCTCTGTGGGCACCCTGCTTCATAGGAACTCTTTTCCCAATGTAACTGAATATCCTTTTAATGCAAAAAGCTGTATTGTTAGTCTTAACTCTTGGAGCAGTATTTGCTTTGGTTACATCGTGAAACCCCTTCTATAGAAGTTAGCTGGGGCAAAAAATGTCCCTATGGAACTGTGACAAACAGAATGTGCCACCTAGCTCACTAATTTTGAAAGATCAGTTATTTTTTCTGCTAAATCTAGTATGATGCCTGTAATACACTTTCAAGTAGCACCAAACAGAGCCGTTGAACTTTGCTTTTCAACTCTCTTCTTTTCTTATCTTTTTCCTGTTTTGCCCAGAGGTCTCTGAACTTTGGCAAGTGTATGAAAGTCCTCAGAATCCCCGTGATTTTCTCTCTCTTTTTTCTCTTACACACTATTTTCTGGGTTACCACTAAAAAATGCCACGCTGTTGTAAGCCAGCTGTAAGTGCTCCACTGTCTCTTGACAGCCAGTGACCCAAAGAGCTGAGCAAACACAACTGATACTGAGCTCCCTTTGAGGTGCCCAAACATAGAAACATCCTTCAAAAGACCAGCAACAGAAAAAGCACAATATTGTACTTATAGAGAGGCTTCGTTAACTTAATTTCTCTGAATATTTAAAGTATAAAGAATAAGCAAAACCATAATGTTTTATTCCTGATATTGCTTAAGCAACTCAAAGTCTAGTGGACCTATAAAACTCACTCACAGGTGTTGACAGAGAAGGGCATCTTTGGATGCATGGTATGATTTTAGAAATTCAAATGCCTCACTGTACAGTTATGATGCTGTGATTTGATAATCTGAGAGACTCACAAGTCCTACTGACATAGTCCAGGTTGCAAACAAAGAGTGCAGAAATAAATTCTAAGGCTTTTGGCGTCAATGAAAAAATTGCCATTGTTTTCAAACAGGATAAAAGATAAAGCTAACTAGGATCTAACACACAAAACAAAAACAACTGTAGAAAAACAAGGTACAAAGGTACTTTTCATTTTCCTTCAGACCACTGTACAATCACACACAATTTTTGTATTCCTTTGTTTAGCAAATGAATATCCTATTCTTTTAAATAAGCTCCAGACTATCTGTAATATATCTCACTACTCCATGAAAGAGTTTGTCAGTTTAAAGAAAAATATTGTCCTTCTTTTGTACAATTGGTTTTAATACTGTGTTAAGCTGTTAAAAAAAAAGTCATAATAGCCTTCCTTAGGTTCCCTTCTTGGTGGCACTGCCACCAGTGAGTTATTATGTAAATTATTGCAATCTGGTTAGCTCCTTCCATCTCTTGTCTTAACAAAAGGGGTCTGCAAGTGCTAATCAAAATGTTGTAATTTACATATTAATGAAGTTTTCATAATGGCATTTGCTTCATATGTAATATGAATGGTATGGAGACTTTTCACTCTTCTTTTGAGCAACCACTACATTTTGATTTCCTGAAGTAGCTGATGTACATCTGAAAACAAACTGTAATTGCATCACAGTATATATCTTTAAATATATATATGTATATATAAATATTTCTACATATCTTTGATATCAGAATGATAAACTCCAGTGTTTGGATCTTAAATGTAGCCTCACTTGTGGCTGTGAACTATTATTTACTCACATTCCTTTGAACAATTTTGTTGTTATCATTCTGAAAATGCTAAAGGCACATTTTTCTGCTGAGAGTGTGAAGCACAAATAAGTAGTGATTTTTTTTTTTTTTTGTGGTTAAAAATAAGAGGATAAAGAGAAAGAGGGGGATGGAGAGAGACAGAGAGAGATAGTTTTAAAAATACTACAACCCACTCCTATGGAAAGTTGAAAGGTAAAATTTCCTGGGCTTTGACAAATGTCATATTAAAAAAAGCTGGACATGGAAGAACACAGACTTTCTGTTTTCCATTCTATTTTTTATTTTGCTGTTATTTTAAAGTACAGCAAACACAAAAACTCTGTTTAATATTACATCTTTAAAGCCCTTTAATTAAAGATCTGGGATCAAATCTATCTGTGACTCAATACAGAGACCTGTATCAATTTCTACTTTCACCTGAGTAGTGAGTGAGAACAGTATTTATGTACCTTAAATTTGGGATGTAAATTATTAGGAAATCTTAAACAAGATGTGGTATTCCAAATGAAAAAAAAATGACATCCACAGTCAAATTGAATGGCCAGTTGATTCTTTTTCTTCTTCAGTCATGGGATTTTTTCTTTAACAAATCCCACTAGCAAATGGAGGTGAGATTAACTGTCTACTTGGTAAACTAAATGGACCATGTAGGATCTCTCAGAACAATCAATTTTATTTAACCTTTTTTATTATTTTTATTTGAACCTTTTCTAGAATTTAGCTGTTTCCTTCAGGAGTGGACTGTAAACTTGATTATTCCAGAAATGTTTATTCTCTGTGAGAAACAATCATAATCCTCATCTGTTCCCCATGTTTCTGCTCTAAAAAATCCCATTTTTTGGTTATAATTTCATTTGGGAGCCCATTTTCATTGGCACAGACTAAATTAGCTTCCTGAATTTGTAACTCTATGAGGCTGGCTTTTTAAGGTGTTCTCAGCACTCCAAGATAAAGAATTCTTTTTCATTATGAGACGTGATTTTGGATAAGTTCCATCCTGAATGCAAAGCTTTAAACATTAGTTAGATTTAAGACTCCATAAAAACAGAGATTTACCTGGGTTTTAATAAAACAGTTTAGTGTAATTGATAGACGTTCACAGTACTTTACATTATCCCCAGCTGGAGCAGGAGTTAGAGCTGAGAACACTGACCCAGGAGCCTACAAAATATTTCTGTCCAAATTTTCATGAACAAAAAATGAGGAATAATTTTTTTTTGTACAGAATTGCACTCATTGTTTCCGCTCACTCAATCCATACTTTTTCTTTTAAATTCTAATCCAAAGCAAACAGATCCAACATTATGCACAGTCTAATGGAAGATTGGATTTAAATGGAAGATGTTTTCTATCATTGAGGAAGAGACCCTAGTAATGGTTTCACCTAAAGCTTCATGACAAACACTTCAAAAGCACATTAAAGACATGTGGGAGGTATGGAATGATATTGCTAAAAAAGATAATTTACACTGAACCTCAGGAA